CTAAATTATAAATATTGACGTAGAATGTGTTTAATTGGTTGACAGTAGAAAAAAGTCAATAGATTCGCATGAATTTCTTTCTTTTATATACAATAATAATTATATATAGCAGCTATATTAGACAGTTTTCTTAAATATATTGTAAAACCCAACTTGAGGAAAAAATATATATTGAAAAGAGTTATTTACTATGTACGTTTCGTTTCTCTTTCTTATGGGTGTATGGTGTAGACTTCTAATGAGGAATGTTTACCTAAGAAATCAAGCGTCTAAATTATAAATATTAAGTAGAACGTTTTGGTTGACATTAGAAAAAGTGTATCGCTTTGCATGAATTTCTTTCTTTATATATAATATAATATAAGTATATCACAACGCTGCTTGATTAGCAGATCATGTCAATATATATTAACACTGTAGGGTAAGAAAACCACGCACGTATAACAGGAAACATATATATATATATATATATGTATGTGTGTAAGTATGTATATATATATATATGTATATGTTGTTGAACGTGACAGTACAGTCACATGGATAATCTCTGAAATATTAGGTGGTTGCATCCATTGATAAATAAAATTCATGTAGTTTACAAACTATAACATGATTACCATAAATGATCAGATTTAAACAATTTTCTTTTGAAGATAATAATCTATTAGAAAACTTAAAACCATAATATTGGCAATTTACTACTTAAATTTTGAAAGTCAATACAATGTTGAGTAAATTGAAGGCGAAGTTAAAGTTTTAGACGGTTTCTTCTAGATAAACGTTTAATAAAACTAATTTTAATATTTTATATCAAATTAGTCCCCATATGATTATTATGAGCAAAATTTTTTTTGAAATTGTAGAACGCCTAATTTTTCTTCAAAACTGTTAATCCCCAATTTTAGTATGACGAGCCTAACTAAGTAACCGCCTTTTAAACTCATTAACATGTAATCGCTTAAAATACTTGAATTAATTAAATATAATATTTGTGAATATTTATTTATTTATTTATATATCATATAATAAAAGAAAATAAACTTAACTTTAATATTAAATTAACAAATATTAATTTTGAAATTATATAAGAAGTCTCAATCTTCTTAAAACTAATTAAAAAGTTTTATCTTAACAAAACATATTGCAGAATTAAAATGCGAGCGGTATCTATTTCCTATTCTCCACACTGTCACTTGCCGTTGCGCACATCCCATCATTCACCTTTCATTGGTTGTTTTCCTACAGTATAAATACATCATAGGGGTGAGTTTATACTCAATAAGTAGGAACTAAGTCTCGTTAATTAAAACATAGTTCTTAAAGTATATCAATAATGCATGTACCACTTATGTTTTTTTATAAACCTATTTTATTATTCATCTGGCCCAGAGTGTACGTACCAAGATGTACGCACAATCAGTGGGTAAAGAGGGTTTGCAAGGTCCACAACTACACTGTGACCCTAATTTACCTTCTCAGGTACTGAACGATTGCCTCCTCAGGCCTTAAGTCTTCCCCGTAGGTCGAGAGGTTGGTACGACACTCTTAAATGTTCTTATTAGCCATATAGATCTTAATAGTGAGCATGCGATATGTCATGGCATATCATACTATAACTTTAAGCATAAATATGTACATAAAACATGTATAACATTCTGTTTTTAAACTTATTCATATTGTATGCAAGATTCTCACTTACCTACTATTAGTCAAGGTTGGGACTATATTACTCGCTGAGGTTAACCTCTTATGCTGTGTTCTGTAAAGAAAACTCACTGAGGGTGTGAGTTTGACTTATTATAAGCTAGTCTATTTAAAAATTTATTTCTATACTTAGAAAATATTTCCTTTTTAAATAAGGATCATTTGACTTCTCACATATTATAAGGATTATTTTAATAAATTCTTATTGTATAATAATTGCCTTTGCTAATCGGTCATAGGTTGATAACTTAATCTTGTAATTAGTTATCTAAACCACGGTCTATGTTTAAGTTACCAATTCATATTATTTCTTAGATTGGGCCTAAAATTGTATTATGACCCATTAGTCTACAACATGTCTACAATGTTCATTTAAACTAGCGTGTCAGACTTAGGCTCGAAAAGTTGCGGGCCTAATATGGGTGTTGGGCCTGTGCCTAGTATTTTTATAGAAATTCTCAATCCGATTTTATTTTAAAAATCGTTAGTAAATCATATTTTACCGCTAGTAATATTGTCGGTTATTAGAAATTGGTATCGGGAAGTACTTAGTGATTATTTTTAGAAGATAACCATAAATTTGTAAACCTTTTAAAATTTCCTATTTGGCCTTATTTATTAAATTTTGTCTTAAATTTCAATTCATGTAAAACTCAGATTCAAACGTTTCGAAAGACGTTCTTCGCTAGAAATTTGAACCGTTTTAGATCTTACCATTTAACTTTTTTATTTTTCCTTAATTTGTAATTAACTATGTCTTAGAGTTGGATTCTTAAAATTTGAGTTTTACAAAGTTTCTTCGTCTCGTCGCGATCTAAAAGTTTCGTGTTTTGCGGAAAACGAGGTTCGGCCTCGGAACGGCCTGAAATTGTAAAAATAGTGGCTGCACAAATATTATTTTGCGCAGTTTTTAAAAATGACTTGAAAACACATCCTAGAATCGGAATTGTGATTTTTCGCAGTCACAAAGGTTTGTCTGTAACATCGAAACCTTTAAGATGTGTGAGTCAGAAATCCATAAATTGCCCTCTAACGCATCCTAGAATCAGAATTGTGATTTTTTACAGTCACAAGGATTTGTCTGTAACGTCGAAACCTTCAAGAAAAGTGAGTTAGAAATCCCTAAATTGCCCACTAAAAGGTCCAAAACAGTAAAACAGAAACTAACTCAAATTGACAGTTTTAGACCGTTTTAATGAAATTATGGACAGTTTTGAAAAAACGTCTAAAAACAGACTTTAGAGGCAGAATTGAGATTTTTCTCATTCACAAAGAAATGTTCATTATGTCGAAATCTACAACTTTCATGAAATATAATTTTTCTCAATTTGGTCTCTAACAGCTCTAAATTTAAATCAAAATGGACTGAAATTTTTAAACCAAAACAGAAACTTGTCAACTTATTATTATTATTATTTGCATCTTTATCCTCTTAAAATTAATATGCAAAGCTTAGATCTTGTTCTAAACACACAAAACAACAACCTTAGAGAGAGAAAATTTAAAGAATCTTACCACAAACCTTAAGATAGGAATGATTTTGACCACCAAAGAAAGAAATTCCTATAAAGATTTAAACTTTTATGGAAAAGTTAGAACTTTGAACAAAGAAAAAAAAAAAAAAAAGTTTTAATCTTTACCCTTGAAAGTACTAGGAATTCCTACACAAATTCCTTCTCCTTCTTCTAGATTGTGGTTTGAAGTCTTCCTTGTGTGAGAGAAGTGGAAAAATTTTGAGGGAGAGAACTTGAGGGGTTCGGCCAAACAAGGGGAAAAGAGAGAGAGTGAAAAAAAATAAGGAAATAGTAAAAATGAACTTAATTCTAAGTAGTGGTATTTATAGACAAATGACTAAGCTAATTTATCACTAATTAAGGCCTTCTTAATCAAGCTCCATGGACCAGAATTTGATTAAAAAATGCTTAGTATGGCTGGAGAGAAAATTTACACTCAACGGTGACTTAAAACCCTTGTCATATCAAGATTAAATCCATGTCTCCATTTTGTCTCCCAAAAATTCCTTCTTAAACTGATTAAACTTATACTGACAGTAATTTATAGATAAGTTAAATGGATAAATAATTTCCAACAGTTTTCAGTCCACTGTTTAAATCATAGTCCAACGTTATATTCGGAATAAATTAATACCGGTTTAGATTTAAAATAACGTAAATTATTCGGGTTGTTTTTAAACTTTAAAATTTGTCTTTAAATAACTTAAAATTTGAGTTTAACATACATGTCTTAAACTCTCAGTAAAACATAATAACCGATAGTGTCGATTTCTTAACCCGGCTTTACGGTTTTACCCAAAACGTGACTTGCGTAACACCGATTTTACTAATTGGCAATTAAAGACTTCTTTAAATGTTAGAGTGCTTCTCAGCACATTGCTAACACTATACAGTACTCATAAATTCTTATGAACAGAATAATTAGTCATAATTGAATCAAAAATTTCTCTTATCTTAAATCGCGATAAGGATTATCGACTGAGTCATAACATAAAAATTTTTAACATAAAATTTTTATATATAATTTTAAAATAATATTATTAATTTCATAAATCAATCATTACAAAATATATCATTATTTAAATAATTCATGATTTAATTACATAAATTACATTAATTAACATCAAAATTTTCTCGATGATTACATTTTAAGTTCTTTTTGTGACAGGCGTTGGGTGTACTGTGGTGAAATGAGTGAGAATTTGACTCATTTTTTAGTAAAGTTGTCATGTTTTTTATGTTTTATTAGTGGGTCCCATAATTTCTAAACCGGCAAATAGGATCATGAGAGGTCCAATAATCTTTTTTTATTTAGTAAAGTTTGTTTCCATCCGTTATATAGATTTGCACATGTTAGAAACTATTTTAACATTATTTAAACGAAAAGGCAAAAAGCTAAAATTCCGTAGGATGATCATGAAAAAAAGAACACGAGGAAATATCCACGTAGGTGAATGTACTTAAAAACAGATGGGAAAATTCCATCACGATGAGAGAGAAAAAAACACACGTGCATCAAAATCCTTCCCTCACCACCCTCCCGCGTAACTCCACATCACTGCTTCCCTCATAACGCCACGTGTACGCCCTTTTCGCCCACCTGTTTTTGACTCTTTGCGGCTTTCTAGTTGTCTAATTGTCTGTCTCCCCCCATCAAAAGTCAAAACGCGCATTTTCAGTGTTGAACCCAACAGTCAAATGTCAAAATGCTGCACTTCTCCCCCCACAGTTAACACGCCCCCACTGAAACTCTTCATATATATTCTCCCCAGCCGCAAAAACCAAACACAACACTTAAACAGGAAGAAAGAAAAAAAAAAAAAAAAGCAAACATAATCCATCTGTCCTCGTATATTCTTGGATTCTCCAAACTCAAAAAAGAAGACAAAAGAAATAACTTTGATCGCAAAAGAAAAGAAAATAATTATGGTGAAGCAGACGAGTAGTGAAATACCCACGGCGGAGGAGAGGGAGAGGAGAGATAGTTGCCGGTACAAGGGCGTACGCAAGAGGAAGTGGGGGAAATGGGTATCCGAAATCCGGCTACCCAACAGCCGCGAGCGGATTTGGTTAGGGTCCTACGACACCGCCGAGAAGGCGGCGCGTGCCTTCGACGCCGCACTCTTCTGCCTCCGCGGTCGCACTGCCAAGTTCAACTTCCCGGAGAATCCGCCCGAGATCGCCGGCGGCCGTTCGCTGTCCCCGGCGGAGATCCAGTCCGCCGCCGCCAGGTTCGCCAACTCGGAGGACCCTATGAAACGATCGGATCGGCCCGTGCCCGAACTGCGGATGGAGTCGGAGACTCCCTCTCCATCACCGTCGGTCTCCGAAGGGAGCGTGACCGTCCAGTTGGACAGCGAGTTGACAACAGACGGGTCGTTCATGGACATGTTCACGAATATTGGGTTGGGCAATTATGCTTCGGACTACGGGTTGTTTCCGGGTTTCGATGACTTATCGGGCGATTTTTTTATGCCGCCGCCGCCAACGATTGACTACGGAGAAGAAAATTACAACGTTGATGCGGTTTTTCCACAGGAATCTTTCCTTTGGAATTTCTGAAGCACCCCCCCCTTTTCCACAGGAATCTTTCCTTTGGAATTTCTGAAGCACCCCTCCCCCCCCCAAAAAAAAAAAAGGGGGGGCTCTAATACAAATTTTTACGGGTCATGGTTCGGGTCAATTTGATTTTTCCAAGAGCTTACCGACTCGTTTTCTTACTTATGGACGGACCAATTTTAGTACGGGCCATCCTTGAATTGAAAACTAAGGTCTTCCGCAAAACAAATTTCAAAAACGTTTTAGTAACATATATTTTTTTTTTTTCTTTTTTCTCTTGATGAGAAGATATTCATTATTGTTTATCATTGTCAAAATGTAAAGCAGAATACATTTGTAAACTCATTCAAGTAAAGTTATTCAATTTAGTGATAATAGTAGTTGGAAGATTCCTCACCGAATCAACTGTTTTGAGATACATTTTTGGCACAGTAATGCTTTAGTATGGGCGCCTAGAGATGCTCTTTGCAATGACTCAAACATTATAATTCCTCGCTATAAATATGACAGAAAAATGACACAAAACTACCAAAGTGGAAGAAAAAAATGTTTTACATTAAATGAGATTTATTTCCATTAGAGGACTCATATATATCCCGTTTAGTGAGGAGCACTACATGAGTTATGAGTATAGTGGGGGATAAATTTCGGTGTAGATGAATAGAACTGTTCAAAAAGTGAGTCAAATAGTCTAAATTTCTAATTATATCTGAATTTTATTTCGAGATTTATGTGGAAAGCCCGTCAAAAGTCGAAATAAATGTGAAAGTTCCAAAAACAGAGGCCTTCTCTGATATGATATGTGTTTCCTTCACTTGGTCAACTTAAGAGTGCACTGTACCTGTTTATTACATTTACAGTACTGTTGAATGTCGAGGCTTACAAATTTGCTTGGTAAATAAATACAACTTATACAAATTTCTTTATGACGATTTACGAGCACTCTTATCAAGTATCAACAACATATTTAGCTGTAGCATCCTATAGTCTACGAAACGGCAAATTTGATGGGTTTTTCTACCTTAAGCACAAAATGACGCTTAGAACCCGTTTGGTTCATGAATTATAACTATGAGATTATAACTATTTTTTATTTACGTGTATTTTTTATGAGAGAAAATACTGTAACGAACCATGAACCATGATTCGAATTAGAGAACGAATCATCCAACCAAACGGGCTCTTAATTAGCTCCATCCACGGCAAATTGTAAGGGCGTTATGTTGAGCATCAGTTTGTATGATATTAGCGGTCAACAAATTAGGTCCACAAATGGGTTATTTTTCACTAATGGTGATATGTATTTGTTTCACTTTAGCACTCGGTGTTTTATTTAATTAGCTACTCTGGTGTTCTGAAATAATACACACTTTTAGCCTCTCCTTTAATGAACCATCTATTTTGCACGAGGGTTTTAAAAAAAAACAATAGAATGATTAAGAAAAAGATAATCTAAGATTATTCTAAAAAATCATATTCGGGGTTTTTTTTTTTTTCTTTAAGATTTTATTTTTAATAAAACTAGCAAATACTATCACCACATTAGTTTACATCTCAAACTAGATATCTTATGGTCAAAACCATTTATTTTATAAATATCAACATAAATATCATGCTGCCAAACTAAAACAACTGCACATTATGAGAGACTATTAGTGAACATTAATCAAAATAACAATATTAAGACTGTTGTTGTTGAAGAAAGTATTGTTATTCATTTATGTTCTAAAACTAATTAAACTAGGCTAAGCTAAATTATGTCCATGTCCCGATGACCATGCAATCTTTTCAGAATAGACGGAGGTCTTGTTCACATTTGAAGAGAGCCCAAACACACTCCTCTTTATGTAGGGAGTCTAAAGTCTGTTCGTTTCATTCGTTTGAGTTAAAAATTTGAGTTAAAAAGTGAATTCACGTGAAAAAATATTATTGTAAAATAATTGAATTTAAATTTTTATGAGATAAAATATTGTAGTAAAATTTTGAGTTATGATTCGAACTAACAAAACGAACGAGATCTAAAAATTCTCAACTCTAAAAACAACGTCGTAACACAAATAATGTTGAACACTATCTATCAATAAAAAAGCTAGAGATGCAAGAATGGGCCGGGCCGGCCCATTCTTCTTCGGCCCACACGGGCCGTGGGACGGACTGGCCTATATACGACTTACCTCGGCCCAGCCCACACCACGGGCCAACTTTACGTAGGTCAGGTTGGGCCGTGCTGTGGGCCTTGAATGGGCTAGCCCATCATGAGTTTAGATGGGCTGGCCCATTCAAGGCCCATCTTGGCTCATCAAGGGTTTAGATGGGTCAGCCCATCTAAGCATGCAATTTTCAATTTTTTTATTTTTTTTATTTTTGAATTTTTAAACAAGTTAACAAATATACAAGTTTGAATAGTCAATAGGAATATGAAAAGAGATATTTTATTTACGATTGCCTCATTAAAAACCTTTCCAAGGAAAACTTAGTGGGACAAAATCTTGGTAAGAAAAAAAGAGTACAATCATGATAATTATACATAAGATATTTACAAAATTACTAAATCAAAGAAAAAAAAACATAAAAACATATAAAAAAATAGATATTGTTCGTAATTACAATGTATTACTCCCAGTGGGAGTATCATAAATGTCTAAATTTTTAAAGTCATCAACCCAATCGTCTTGAACTTGTTGCCTTCTTCTACAAGCGTCCTCCCAATCTTTGACGCACATTACTGCCTCCAAGATATCGTCACTCAAGCGTGCACGTCGTTCATCAAGTACTCTACCACTACAACTAAATACTTGTTCACTTGCAACTGTGGACACTGGTATGGTTAGTATATCACGTGCCATTCTAGAGAGCACGGCTGAAGTTTTTGACTGTGATCTCCAAAATGACAAAATATCAAACTTATTGAAATCATGACCACCACCTTGCTCATTGAAAATGAATGCTGTAAAATTCGTTCCAGATAGTTTTGCAATTCACTGCGTGCTGAAGATGTGGATGACGCACCAAAACTAAATCCGGTGTAGCTAATCATACTTTTCTACGAAGCACCATGTGGTACAGATGTAATACTCGCTAAAGGTGCAGGGGACATTGTTTGGCCTCCTCCATATTTTTCATTATATATAGTAAATAAAGTGTTCAATTTTACTTGCACATTTTGAATGGTTATGATGTCAGAATGCACCTTCAGTTTTTCCCCTATACCCTTAAGTAAATATTCAACACCAGCTAATTTAACTCTTGGATCCAATACAGCGGCTACGCAATATAGAGGTGGAACACACTCCCAATATTTTTTGAATTTTTATTCCATGAACTCAACAGATTCCCTAAACATGTCAAAATCTCTATGCATATCGAAGGTTGTAGCAATGTTGTACAATTTATGTAATTTATGAGGAGAGGTGGGATAGTACACACATGAGAGTTGGAGAGTAGCTTCATAAAAAACCTTCAAGAAATTGTAGAAGCATGAAGCAATTTTCCAATCAATTTCTTGAATAAGCTTAGTTGGATTCTTCAAGTTGTAATACGCGATTATGACCTCTTTGTATGGTAGGCATGCATTCAGCATCAAATATGTTGAATTCTATCGGTGTCCCACGTCAGTAGGAAGTTTTCTGAGTTTCATGCTTGCTCTCTTGCAAAGTTTAGTAAATTCTTCAATTCAAGAGCCAGAACTTGCTATGTAACCCAAGGCCGTTTGAATATTTTCCAAATAACCTTGAAAAAATTTCATGCCATCTTGAACACACAAGTTAATAATATGACAAGCACATCTTTGGTGAAAAATTGTTCCACCATGTTGTGGTTTCAAAGTTGTCTTGAAAAGGTTAATCGCAGCAGTATTAGCAGATTCATTGTCAAATGTGATGCTCAAAACCTTTTCTTTAATGCCATAAAAATCAAAAAATTCCATGATGACATCATGAATGGCCTTGGCATCATGTGGATAAGGCATTGATCGAAAAGTAATTAACCTTTTTTGAAAAGACCAATCTTTATTCACATAATGTGCCATTGCACAGATATAACTAGTTTTGGTGCGACCTTCCCACAAATCATATGTGCATGCAACAGATGCAGTGAATGAACTAAATTCATTAACTAAATTTTCCCTCATTGAATGAAAAACTTTCATAGTGTCAACTCTTGTGGTAGTTCTTGAAACACGCCTATATTGTGGATTATAAACATTTTGAATATACTCCTCAAAGGCCGGATCATCAGCAAGACTAATTGGTTGTTGAGCACTAGCCAAATATCTAGCGTGCCATTCTCTAGCTCTTTGTTGGTCATATGACCAATTAGTAACACTACCATCAGAGCTAAATTGAAGTGTTTGTTGACGAAAATCAACACCACCTACACCATGCTTAGCTTCGCATTTTTTGCGATGCATCTCTAAGTGACCAGTACCAGAAGATGATTTACCTATGTAGTCTTGTTTGCATACTTTACAAATTGCATGTTCTTCTGTTACATCATTCTCATTTTTACGCATTACTAAATCAAAATAATTATAAATTGGTGAAGTTCGTTGCACTTTTCTTTTGCCTTTACGAGTCACATTAAAGGAGCCACCAACTTGAGATAATGAGTCAACTCTAATTTCTTCAAGTGGATCATTAAATTGTTCTTCTTCATTGATCACTAAATTTGAAACATTGGTGCTCCTTCCATGTGATGATGCCATTACTTCAATAAAAAATAACAATAAATTAACATAACACTATCAATAAAAATTAAATAAGATAATTACACAATAAAATTAACTTATAACAATATAAAATTAATGAATAACAAATGAAATAAATTAGGCCTTCAAGTATTTTTTTTCCTTTCGGAAGAACTGTAAACTAATAAAAATAGAAAATATGTAAAATTTGAGAAGTTAGTTGAATGAGCATGCTCAAATGTGAAGTTTCCAAGGCTATATATAGGCAAAAACTAGGATGGAAGCACGTCCAAAAGTCAAAAAATGAGAAAGGAATTGGACAAAAAAAGACAATACATTGATGAGACTTACGGATAAAGAACCCAAATTGTGTTGCATGTAACCCATCACTTCATGAAGTGCCATATCAGTCCACGCAAACATATATATACACATATTTTTTTTTATAAAAAAAGCGTACAATTCTAAATTCCCGAAGCAAACATTTTAAATAAGTGTACAACTCTTTCTTTCTCTCTTTCCCACACAACACCCTCTCTCTTTCTCTTTCCCACGCAACACCCTTTGTTTTTTCTCTCTTTCCCAGGCATCAACTTTGAACTCCCTTTCTCTTTCTCACACAAAATAATTATTATTATATATATATGTATATTAAATGTATAGTATTTTGATGTGATAATGCATGACTTACAGTATCAACTTTGCTTCTCAGAAACAAAACACGCCTATTAGCAAGAAAAAAAATTGTTATAATGTGAGGCCTTTTACTACAGAAGATTCATCCGTGAATGAATTCTCAAAGATTATAACATTTTAACATTTTAACGTTTTCATCACTCATTATGGGCCTCGACAGGCTCTTTTGAGCCGGTCCATTGTGGGCCTAGACGAGCCCGTCTGGGCTAGCCCATTATGGGCCTAGACAAGCCGGGCTAGGCCGGCCTATCATGGGCTTAGACGGGCCGGCCAAGTCCGGCCTGACCCATGATTTTTCATGGGCCGTGTCGGGCCTGCCCATGAGCCGATATATGTTAGCCCAACCCAACTCAGTCCACTAATATTTATGGGCTGAACCGTGCCTTAAATAGTGACGAGCTGTACCGGCTCGGCCCATCACTGATAGACCTGAGCCGGGGCCGGCCCATAATGCATGTCTCATAGTAGAAGATTCACTCTCTTTTAACGGGGATACTCGTAACCATTTTTCCAACTCTAAACTCGTCCCATATAAAGACTTCTAGAAACAAGTCAAAAAGTGTCAAACTAAACTCAAAAACCCGTGAAACCCCAACCTGGCCTTCTTGAAAGAAAGTCTTGATTCCCCATTGAGCTTCCCCATTTTAGCAACTCCAACTCTCCATCTCCCACGTGCCCCAAATATTCCCTCCACGTCATCGCCACGTGTACGGCCTAGGACAAATGCAGTCCAATCCAACGGTCTAGAATCCCTAGCACCTCCCCATCCCCAACTGCCTTATCCAAACAAACAGGAAGAGTCATCCCCAAACCGGCATATACTTCCTCGTGCTTCATCACCGCTGACGTGGCACTCTCTTTTGATGTCCACGATTCTCCGTATCCAAACCGTCCCACTTCTCTGTCTTTTACCTGTAAACGAGTTTCTTTGTGTAATTTTATCGAACATTTTGGTGCGCAACAGAAACCCATAAAGGTCGAAGAAAGATGGTGAAACCGGGTATAAGGAGGGAGAGAAACAGCTCAACCGGAGGGCAAAACGATGTCGTTGGCGGCGGCGGCGGCCGATACAAGGGCGTGAGGATGAGGAAGTGGGGCCGGTGGGTGGCGGAGGTCCGGCAGCCGAACAGCCGTAAAAGGATCTGGCTGGGCTCCTACAACACGCCGCAGGAGGCGGCGCTGGCCTACGACGCCGCCGTATTCTGCCTACGTGGACCGTCGGTGCTGCTCAATTTCCCAGAGACTCCGCCGGAGATCCCCTCTGCCGGAGATTTGTCGCCGTCGCAGATCCAGGAGGCTGCTTGCAGGCACTCTCACAGTTTCCCGGCCACGGCGGAGGTTTCTCCCGTGGAGGCGGAGATTTCGGAGGGGATGTTAAAGTTCCCGGCGGAGGATGGGGAAGCTTCTTATGGTTTGGGTATGGCGGAAGTTGGGGTTCATAAAGGCGACGATGGTCTTACGTGTGAGACGCACTATCAGCCGCCTAGTTTGTGGACATTCTAGAGCTTTTTTTTTTCTTTTTAATTTTAAGTTTGTATTATTTTTGTTTGTTTTGAATTTTAATCGAGTTCGGGGTTAATACGGCTTCTAAATTCATTTTGAAAGATATTTACGTAGTAGATATATAGATATATATTGGTTTCTTTGCGGGAATTTCGTTCTCTTTATTTTCAAAACTTTTCTGTCCAGGCATTATTTGCATGCTAAAACTATTGCTAACTTTGGAGACTTCTAAGACCTGAAAAAAAAAAACAAAAACAAAAACGATGTTTCTTTTTACACTCGTCAGATTTGTATTAAAATTTTTCTACGTAACTTTTTTTTTTTATTTGAATGTGATTTTTTTTTTTTAATGTCCACTATTAATTAGAGGTCCTACCTAGATGGTGCTTCAAAGGTTCAGCTATTTGTGACCTGTAAGCTCTTGACGAAAATATCATGCCCTTACTTATCATAATTCTAGTTCCTAGAATACTTGCTTCTGAGAAGAATTATTCTTCTTCTTCTCCTTCTTCACTCATTTCTTCGAACAAAATAAACGTGTTTGTTTCGTTTCTAAAGTACGATATTGGTACTCGTGTTTTGAAAGAGAAATGACATTGCTCTGATTGCTACATTTGTTCGATCACCGAAATTTGTCGATCATTATTTATTTTTTTATTTTTTTTCTTTTTCACGAATCAGGTATATGGTATCTTGCTAATCACATGCAATGTTCCTCCATCCGTCTTCATCAGCTTTCAGCAAGTTAGTCTTCAAGGCCTAATGGGCCATAAGGCCCATTAACTTATCCGTGGACCTCTCTTCTTGACTTTAAAGCAGGACGTTGGGCCTTTCCATCCACTCTACAAGCTTAGCTTTGGGCCATTCTCATCCACTTTAGAAGGCTTAAGTAACTCCGATTCATGAAAATTGAACGTTACCTATCTATTAATCAACAAAGTAAAATGTAGGAAATTTTGATAAATGTCCCCAAACTTTCAGCACCATAAACACGTGCTCTTTCAATTTCAATTTGCATCATTTATTGCATCTTAGTATCCTACTTTGAAATTGTATCAAAAGTCTCAATTCTATTAACTTTTTGATGGAATGGCCACGAGTTCAGATATTTCATTAGTGAAATGACATATTTATCATCAAGGGGTGTGAACAGGGAGTGTGGTATTAGTCTAAGAGTGGAGATTAATCACTATTAATTGCCCAAGTTAACCACCAATTGGGTGTTATAGCGATTAATTGTTCAACTTACACTTAAGAGTATAAAAGTCTGGATTTTTATCATTTACTTTTGATTAATATCCTTTTAATTATTATAGTTATTTGACTACAAAGAACATTAATTAAGAATAAATTCACACACTCTAAAGGGCAATTGTCTCCTCTAGCCAAATGCCTATTGGAGTAAACAATGATTCTGTATAAAACGGCCGCGTTTTATTTAGAGCATATAAGCAGTGCGGTGTTCTGATGATAAAAATGAATGAAAGGGAAATAAATAAAGAAAACGGCGACGAGCAAATTACTTGATCAAGTGCATTCAAGGCTTTAATGCATAATGCGAGAATCGGTCGGAATCTTAAAGGGCATGACGACTTAAAACACATAAAAAAAGATCCAATTTTGATAAAAGTAAGTGGCAAAATCTGATCTAAGGCCGTTGAAAAACTGGGGTCTCCTTGGCCTATAAGTAGGAGTGAGTGCGAGGAAGAAGTTGCATTTTTCTTGATTTCAATATTGATAATTCAACGTTTTTTTTTTACTCAAGAGCTTAACAGTTTTTCTTACAAAACCTCCATTTCCCCCAACTTTGGAGTTTCAAACAAGGACAGAGATTAAAAATCATGCACGTAGCAATTGTCAGGAATCTCTCGTAGATTTTCACCACAACAATGCCTTTTTTTTTTTTTTTTAATTCTCAAGATTGATTCATGGTATACCATAACCCCACTTTAAGATCCTTGCTTGTTTAATGGATTGTGCGGCGTTGGGCTTGCAGTTTAATGAGAGTGAGTAGAATTGAGTTAGATCATTTTTTTTATATATTATTAATAGACCCTTTTCTACCGAAGGAGATAAAGAACGAGATGACAATAATGTTTTTTTTTTTTTTTGAGAAAAATAATTATACAAGTTGGTTCCACCAAGTGACCTTAAACAAGAAAGATGATTATCAATTGCACAAGTTGATGTGAATTGTATATTTCATCACATTAACTTAGTAAACTCAACTTAGAAGTTATGATGGGTTGAAAGAACCTTATGCATAGAGAAAGGAAATCCCGGTTTTTATTCATTAAGAAAATTTTAGCATGTAGTTACAGAATTAATATAGCGATATATAATCGCTCTGAGCTCTATACCCTATATCCAACTTACCATGCACTAGGAAGATCCATAATCTAAATTTTACATGTATAAATTATTGATCACCATGTTAAGTAAATTAAAAGAGTAATTCTATTTGTTGTGATGGGTTAAATCTCCACTTTCTCATAAATAGGACCCCCTATTTATGAGAGAGTGCAGATATTGTACAATATTTTTTGAATTTAAATGGGTCACACTGAAGAATAAAGACCTCCCAGGGAGCTTTTGAACCCTTCCAGTGAAGAAGCATAATCATTTATGCTATTCTTAAACATGATATGATTTCTACTTTTATTTTTCTTTTTAGGGACTGTCTTTATTAGGCCATCTTATCGATAAGATTAATTTTTTAATCATTAGATCCAGTCAAAATCAAATGAGACTGAAAACGTATACAAAATAAATATTTTTAATACAGATCTGATGATTAAAAACGGTTGAAAAAAATAAAACTACCGATAGTTCTATTTTTTTTTATTCTACAGGAGAAACTCCATTCTTTTTATACGTTGATTAGAATTATAAGAGAATGACATAAAATTAAATTGACTTGCAAGGACGTATTTCCATTTTCAAAGCTATAGGCTAGGAGAGATTCTCAATGATAGGAACCTTTTGCTTTTATTAGTGAATCATAGAGCAAGAGGTAACAACCATTTCCTATATCTATATTTTTTTTTAGGGAAGTTCGTAATTAATTTGGTCAGTTTTTTAATAAAAACCATAGACCAAGTTAAGAATAAATTTTTCTGATGATTTGGGTGGTTTGATAATTTAAAAGAAAAATTAAATTAAACAAAACCATTAATTATTGGTTTGGATGGTTTGATTTAGTTGGTTTAGGTTAAAACTTTAAAGTTTTTTGTCCCATCAACTATTGTAAAGTTTTACATTCTTAATGATTTGATCTGATTTGATTTGAAATGATTGAGTTCTTGGTTTATCGATTTTTTTTAACACCCTTAATTCCCTTTTTTTGGTGAAAGTAAAACTTGATACTAGATTCTGCAATTCACTTATACGAGATCTTGATATTTTTACCTTCACTACGAGCCATTTGAAGAATAATAATTATAAAAAAAAAAAAAAATAAAAAAAAAAAAAAATAAAAAAAAAAAAAAATAAAAAAAAAAAAAAATAAAAAAAAAAAAAAAGACATAACAAAGTACTACTTAGTCATAATAATTTGACTCTCTTCAAAACAATAAAATATGTTTGCTACATAAGAAAGCAAAATGACGATCCCGAGAAAGAAATTGTTAAGGTTGCTCTCATCATGGATTTCTTCGGATTTGTTTGCTTTAAATAGTGCAGCACTAATATATATGTACTTAATTAAATGATGAAAGGAAGAAAAGGACAATTTAATAGATGACAGCAAGACAATATATATATATATATATATGTATTTATATATATTAAGATGAAAGCAACACTTCTTCACATATAGTAGTTGAACTCAAAACTCACAACACTACATAAAAATGATTTAAATCAAGAGAATACAGACAGTATTTTCGCATATATATATATATATTAATGTAACAATAGTAAAATCAATTATTTTAATTTCCGTGTGAATCTCAAGTCTTAATTAAAATTTGTAATGATTTTAGTCATTGTAAACATCAAATGGGTCCTAGTCTAAATGAATAAGAAATCACCATTCATAATTGCCGAGACTAAATAAATAAACAACAAAAATGGACTGAAAACGAACAAAATTAAGTGGACCAAACTGCCTATTGTGGTTTTGAAACAATAATAGTCAAGCAACAAGTTTTCTGAATCTTTCACCAAAAAAAAAAAAAAAAGTTTTCTGAATCATTAAAAAATTTACTACTTACAAAGTATATTATTGAACAAGGACAAGTTTTCTTAATTTCTTTCTCAAACTTGAACAAGGACAACTTTAATGCAATACACTTTCAAACTTACCAGGTAGTTAAGTTTACTTATTTTTCAATCCCAAAACATTTTTAAGGTTTTCGTATCGTTAAGCTAAATTTTAGCCACAAAATGTCCATTTCTTTATTTTTTTTTTAATTAGTTGAGCTACGTACGACACGCACGTGGAAATAATAATATGAATTCGATCTAACGTCAAAACACTTGATCTTCTTAGAAACTCAATCCATTAATTCAAGCAAGAGAAAAAAAATTTCAAAAAATCACACCGAAAAAATTAAAGTTATATTAGAGATTTGACCAAAAAAAAAAGTAGAGAGATATTTGAAAAGAAATTTTGATTAAAAGAAAGTGAGAAAAAAAGTATTTAGGCCCCGTTCATTTCGCTGATTCGAGTTTAGAATTCGAGTTGAGATGTGATTTTATGTGAGTATTTTTTACTGTAGTAAAAAAGTTAGATGTGACTGTTTCTGAGAGCTTTTTACTGTAGCAAAACTCGAATTCTAAACTCGAATCAGTGAAATGAACGGGACCTTAAACAAAGATATTGTTAAAAAAATAAACTGTCAAAGAATATTAGAGAGAAATTTTTAAAAAAAAAAAAAGACAATGGAAAAAAGGAAGAAAAAAATATAAAAAAGAAAGAGGAAATGAAAAAAAAAATACATAGGAGTATTAAGACGAAAAAAAGAAGAAAATACATTAAAAGTGAAAAGAATTTTAAAAAAGGGATCCTCTGGTACGCCTGGCG